CACCAGGCTGAGGCCAGGTACAAACTACGGCAGATGTGAAAACAGGACCCAAAGCGAGTCCCCACATTTTCAACCCTGATGGAAACTGACAATCAGAAAGAACTGTGAATGATGGTGCATTCTCTATTTCTTGCATTCAACCCATCAATACCAAGTGTCTTCCTGGGAGCCATGCTTTAGTCAGGCACGTCACTGAGCTCTGTATGGGGACAACTGTGAAACATAAGACTCTTGATATAGCCAGGACTGGTGAGATGACGTAAAGTCTCCCTCCAGTTATGAACTACAAATTGAGGAAACACAAATTGTCTGTGGACATCCCAGATATCTGAATGGCCAGTTGAGACCACATGTGCCTTAATTTGCATGTGTAGTCTTATATCTGCACATTCAAATTAGGCAAGCAATTTCACCTGCATTTTTGCACATGGCCTAGTGTATTTCAGGGTTTGAAAATCAGCCCTAGCACATTTTATTGTATCAATTACTGGAATCTAAGGACATTTTCACACAGTCTTGCCTTCCCCCCACCAGTTTCATTCTGTGTCTCACAGCGCATCTCAGGCTAGACTCAAATGGTAGATGTGAACCAGAGCTGGCTCACTTTCTGGTCCATGGTGATGTTAATTCTCCATCTTGTCATGGGTATTGTGCAGAAGAACTGCATCTGTGGCAGGGGTCTAGTCAAAGCCAGCTCACTGCAGGTTTAGAATCAGATAAGCTGGCCTGGAAACTGGAATGAGAAGCAGAGGAAGAGAGGGAATTTACTAGAGAGAGAGAAGTGTGAGAGGATGAATTGATTTTACAATATTATCAGTATTACAGACTTTTTTTTATGGCTTAATTTTTGAGAAGCCACTGGAGAGATATTCCCAAAACTTGTTCTACAATAATCATATAACGACAATCAGTGTTAGCCTATGAAATGCAGCTTTTAATTTGGAATGGCCAACCAATTCCTTTATGGCGTGGCCTGCAACTTGTACAAAATGGTCCTATTACATGATGAAGGACGTGAGATATGGTGATGTTATACATCAATATGTATATAAGTATTTTTATATAGACTTTTAGAATACTGCCAAAACATTTATGACAGCTATATCACTGCCTTTGTTTATATTTTTTTTACTGTGATATATTCCACAGGCACGTTAACTGTTGCACTTTGAATGTCCAAAAGTTATATTTTAGAATAATAAAAAAGGAAGTGTTTCCAAAATGATGGCTGTTGTGAAATGTTTGAAGAAGGGCATACTGGCCTGAGTGATGGTAGGCACAAAATGTATTTCAAAAATGCCCCTGTTGATATTTTGTCTTTGAAAAACTCTTGTAAATTAAGATCTCTATATTTCAATAAATGATATATAATTTAAGAATATGTGAGGGGTCTATACTCACTTATTGAAAGATGGTTATAAAGAATCAGTCTTTCTTTGAGTTTTTTCCCTTAAGAGGTTTTTGGTTAATTGAGTTCTCTGCAAAGCCATCAGACAGCAATGACAAGCAGGTCTCTGAGCTCTTCCAGGGGGTATAGTGGGGAACTGCTGGCAGCAAATGATCTGGGTAGTAAGTGACATCTATAGGGAATCATGTTTTCTCCCAGATCATGGCAGGTGTGGTGCTCCAGTGACTGCTGCCCAGAGCAGAGCATGTGTCCTGAGGTGGGCACTGGGTTCCCCACACAAGATAATCCTTTTTGTCCCTGGCACCAGGTGTGCTGGAGGGTTTGATGCCTACTGGTCTGCATACACTTAGGAAAGGCCTCTGGCTGCAGGATTTTTTAAATCTATGCTGAGCTCACTTCCTTTATGAATAAAACCAGATTTATCCTATGGTTCTGTGCTCCCACAATAATAAATTTTACACAGTGGATGCAACTGAATGTAAATTTGAGAAGATTTGTAGCATTTCGACCTGAAATCAGAGTTAAATCAGTGCACTTCTTGCACTGGCTACACTTCCTGCATAGAAGCCTGTCTTGGTTTGGGAGCCAGGCAAGGCTGGCCATGGGAAAGCCCTGTGAACAGGCTGGTTATCAACTTTCTGTCCATCGGGTGGTCACCGCTCTTAAAACATGCTGGGAAATAAATGCTCTATCTAACCTCTTCCCCTCCTTCACCACTTCCTCACAAAGGAAAATCCCTCCTCATTCAAATGGGGTACAACATTCTTGGCCTTCGCCTTAGGTAAGAGTTACAGTAGTTTGTCTCTCCTTTGTGTCCTCGCTGAAGAGGAGCCTTTATCTTGTAACACTGAATGATCACACAACTCTTCTGCCACCCTGGGGGGTTGCAACAGAGTCATGGGAGTGCTCGTGACCTCACATCCTGCTCAGCTGTGCACCTGCTCTTCCTGAAGTTCAGCAGCTGTGTGAGACATGAGGACTGATGTATTCATTTTTCCCGCTGTGGGGGGTAAAGGGTGGGAGTACCGAAATCTCTCCCTGTGCAAGAGAGTACAGAGGTACTCTCCGAGTACAAATCTTAGATTCAGTTCTCCATCCCCTTCTTCTCCTTTGTGGAGTTGGGTGCATTCTCCCACGTGTAGGACAGCTGAGTGTGTGCCTGTGAGCACGTCTGTCCATGCTAGGGAGCATGGATTGTGAGTTTCCCACTCTCGTACTGAGGCAGATCAGTTTTGGACAAAAGCTTAGCCCCTTGCTCTGCTGATAATCCCAAACTGGGTGTCTGACAGGAATACCACTCATCATTTTGCCCCCTGTCTCAAGGCCTCTGCAAGTATTTGGCTGCAAATGTGCCAAGGGAGCACACTGGCACACAGCAGAGGCAGTCTAGCTGGGAGAGTGGAGCTGGGGAAGAGCAGCACTGTGC